CTGACACCTTGCCTCATCCTGGGGGTGCCACTCATATCGGTGTCCGTCCCCCTGGTTTACACCAATCTTGGTTATAACGGACTTCAGCAACAACAGTTTTTCCTATCTTGTTCTCTCTCAGGTGGTTTGAGTGGGCTCAGCCATGTGGGTTTGTAAAAAGAAAAAAGTTTAATCTCTGACTGTTCTTGTACATAAAAATATGTTAAGTGATGTACTTGATGAAGAAATGAAAAGAAAGTTAAGATTTTTTACTGGCAAGATTTGCGGTTTGAATGGTTATTGAGCTTTATCTGCTAATACACCACAAGCCGTTTTTGAATTGTTTTACCTGTAAACAACTTAACAACAGCAGCTCTGACACAATACAATTCTGCCATTTTTCAGGATCACTGTGCAGCTCTGGGGCTCCTCACTTATCTTGATCAATTTAAGGTGTAGACTTAAGATTCAGGGTGGACTTTCACCCCTCGCTTCTGCACAGAAATGTACACATTTAGTCTCCTTTGTCCTTCCCTTGACTATGATGGACAATCAGTCCTTAGTCTTTCCACCTATATGCAGGCATTTCTCCTGAAGCATAGCTTTTCTAATTTGTTCTGTTTAGGACGACTGCACATGGAGACCGAATTGGAAATTTGCCCTTGGTACAATTGGGCAACCAAGGTTACCTTCAGAATTGATCCAAGATCCACTCAAGTCCCAAATATGGCTTAACCTAACTCACACTGAAACACACAAGATGCAACCTAGAGCCTTCCACTACTTCTACAAGGAGAGTCTGACCCTGGGCGATATCTCTAATCTCATCCTTCAGGGAAAACATGTTACAGCTTGACCCTCTTCACTACAGCTATGCAGTGACGGCTCAAACGAGAAACCCAGAATATTAACTGACTCTAGCTGCTACTGGACCTGGATGTCAACCCTGTATGCTTGTGTAGGACCCTCCATCGAAAGGGATAGGGTAGGTGTGGAGACCGACCTGTTTAGCCTCCAGCTTCTCCTAAATCATCAATGGTGGTGTCAGGTTCAACATCGCTGACAATCCGGGAGGATGTAGTATTAAGAGGAAGGCTAGATGTAACGCGTCTGAAAGTCACATCATCGTCAACTCTTGGCCATCAACTTGTTGCTGCTGAACTGGTCAACCACTTTTCTTAATCCATGGCTGCAAATGAGATGAAAATATTCAGTGCCCTTAGCTACCTTAAACTCGCCTACACCCTTTCAAATTTGAATTATCACTTTAAGGCATGGTATGACAGCTATGTCAGACACAGAAACGGCACAGAGAATCCAGTCATTTTTCAAAATAAAATGCTGTGTGCTCCAGACTAAAATTTTACGCTACATCAACATTGTTGCACCAGGCCAGAAGGCAATCAGTCAAAGACAGGTTAGAGCAGTACTTCTCAAATAGTACCTTGGGGGGGGCGACAGGCAGGGGTGACTGACGGAGGAGGAGAGATGGAGAAGTTTCTGACAGGAGTAAAAAGAAAAACGGAGAAGTCGTCAGAGGCAAGAACAGCAAGTAATGTAACCGGCATAAACCTATTAAGACCAGGAAATATGACGAAGCCTACACAGCCCTGGGTTTACCGTGAATACGGTCGGAAATAAGAAAAGACCTGTGTGTGTTTTACGTTTAAAAACTCTGGCAGCGGACAGCATGAAACCAAGCAAATTAAGACGGCACTTGGAGACCTTACACCCCAGTTATGTCAATAAGCCACTGGACTTCATCGAAAGCTCTTTTTGAAAAGGAATAAGCTGATGAAGCTGACAAGTGACCAATATTTACTGTTTAAAAAAGTTTTGAATGTTACTGTGTTAAGTCTATAAAAATGCACATCCCAGTGAATCATTTGCACTTTTTTTGAGAATCACACAGACTGAGCAGTCTTGTTTAAATGTTAAAAATTTAGTTAATAAACTGAACATGGAAATTGTTTAGTTGTTGCAGATGTTATCTCAGCTCATTTTATTAATCCATTTTGATAATCAGGTGATTGTATGCAGAACGCTGGTGCTAGCAACTCATACAGTGGTTTGTACAGATAGATAAATAAATATTATCAGTTTCTCAATAGTATTAAAATTCAGGGGGGGCATGAAAAAAATTCTGTCCTCTAGGGGGGGCATGACAGAAAATAATTGAGAACCACTGGGTTAGAGAGGGGAGATTTTAAGCAGAGAAACACACCCTTTTGTTTCCCACTTCAAGGACAAAATACACAAGTAAATGCCAACGTATGGCAGGCAACACGCTCTGAAGACACTCTTCTCGGTGGGATTTGATATTGAAATGTGATATATAAATAAAGATTATTATTATAAATACACCTAATGACAGAATTAGTTTTCAGAACTTGAATTCCGGTTTGAACTTGTACAATGTTACATAACAGCATTCTAACTTTACAGTGGATTTCCATTTACCACAGTCATAGGAAAACATTCACATGCTTTTATACAAGTGCCCCCTCGTGGAGCCGGCTCTGCATGTCTGCATTGCAAACAGTACTTATTTCAATGGATCAATGCTTTTTATAATAACATCCCTTCCTATTAACTTTACTCTGATGTTGAGCAAACCATCAAGATGGTGAAGCGTGACCTTTCTGATCATTTGACAGAGCCTGGTCCATTATTGACCTGAACTTGTCACATGTCGTAATATATTAGACTTTTTGACACATCCTCTGTAATCTGACATTAAGAATGACTCCAGGCAGTTGGTGCAAAGGCCTGAAATATTCATGTGACATCCTTGACAGCCCATGCAACTGACGCAGCACCTGTCACCAGGATTGAGAGGGTGCAGTTTGCTCAGAGCTAACTGGAAGGGGGGATTTAGTTCGGCAAATAATTGTATAGACCTTATGGAAAAGTCTTAACATCAGCACGTTCAAGCTCCTCCCTCTCTTAGGACATATTTTGGGTCATACACTAATTTGCTTCAAGTTTCTTTTCTACTCAACAATTTCTATATATTTATATAAATCTATTTATTCAGACTGATTTCCAGGAAGAGAATCAACTTGCTGAAACTTGTAATTTTTTTCAGGTAGTAATTCATCACAGCATTTTGTTACATTAATATCTTGTGGTAATACTAACGGTTCCTCAAACCTAAACAACTTATTCAGTTGTTTATCAATTGCCACTGACCCCTGATGACACATTATATATATATATATATATATATATATATATATATATATATATATATATATATATATATATATATATGTATTGGAGGTTTCAAGCAGAGACTGAGCATTCGTACCAAGAGCAGATTTTTCAGACATCTCAGACTTGAGAGTGAGATGCAAAATAGCAGTCTTTTTAATTCCTGAAATTCATATTCATATATTCAATTTCATGCTGGTTTGATAGCGTCACGGCCCAGGTAATACTGGTAAAATACATTTCTGCCACCAGCAAGAAAAGATGCAGGTCTTATCTGAAACCCCAGCAGGCTCGACTTGAATCCTCTACATAGTTAGGCTGGCCCAGCTTACTTGTCTCGCATCGCCAAGTGTGCACTGAGTTCACTGTCGGGTTCAGTTCATTTAAGGTTAACAAATTAATGCAAATAAAGTGAAACTACACCAAAATACTTCAGGGATGAGGGTTGTCATTCATTGTCCTCTCTCTCTCTCTCTCTCTCCCCCGTCATCTACCCACTGACTGGCTGATATTAGATAAGACCCGCCTTCTTGGAGTTTGGCATCCAATCAAAATGACAAATGACTACCTTCCGCACTGATGTTTACTTGTTCGGAAATAAATTAGACTTTCTGACAATGTAGTCTGGTGATATATTACTTGATATCAACCATCTATCAGTTCTTGGTTATAAGAACATCATTGAATTGACCTCAAATGAGAGTTTGCTGCACTACCATTTAACAAACCTACAAAAACCTTTTCTAAGTTGTATTGAAACCATCATCACAACCACCATTTAATTGAGAACAAACTAAACTAAACAGATAGCGACAATAGCTTTTAGGAAAATATATTAAGTTAATAAGAAAGAGAAATACAAAAGGTCAGTGTGAGAGGTATGTGTTGATTTGAACTGGTAGACATTTTTTGGCAAATTTATGTATTCATCTCAGGGGTTATTACTAATTCACATACAGATTCACTGCTTTATATTACATTTTGCATGCGAATGAGCTGAACTGCACGTGATATTTGGTGACTGTTTGAGCAGCCAGTAGCTACTTCCCTCAGAAGAGCGTTGGCACCAGTGGCGCTGGATATGTCTCTTCTTGTAACACAGAGTTTTCCACTCATGCATGAGTCCAAATTATTAACTTAAACAAAACTGCATAGCCCAAAACCACCGTCTGAATCTTTCTCATTCTACCTCTCCCTCACTCTCGTATCTGATCTTAAATTATATCCCCCCTATGTTTTAAATATTTAAGAGTTTCCCTATGCAATATTTATGCTGGCAGTAGAGGGTGTGATTGTTTGGGTTTAAATGTCACTTGAGCATTTGCAGCTCCTGGAAATTAAAAATGAGATAGATTCAGTTGTTGTTATTTTGGGGTGTATCCACCTATTGATTTATGGAATCATGCATTGATTGAATGTGTGTCTGCTCTCACTCAGGCCTTTTTTTTTTGCAAATTAGTTTTACTGCAGTGTAAGACAGCAGACTGCAGTGTCTCCCTTTCAGAGGTATGTTTGAAGAACCACAGGGTAGGAGAGTGTGATTCATGTCCATCTGCACCCACAGCAGGAAGTCTTCTGCCACTGACTTTATTGATTAGTCTTCACAGTAACATTTTGAAGACTGCCGTTTGGATTTTTTCCAGCTGTAGTGGGGGTTTGTTGTACAGGCGACATAGGAGAACAGCCTTTGATTTTCAGAGCCATTATTCAGTCAAATCTTAACACACAGATATGATACAAACACTCTTTAAATCAACAGAAGTTACACTTTACAGACATGCACAAAAAAGTGTTTTTCCCTCTTCCAGGTCAGCAGTGTGAGTTCAGTGGTGACCCGCCGAAGAGAGCAGCGGGTGCTGGTGATGGTTGTCACAATGGTGTTGTGCTATCTGGTCTGCTGGCTGCCTTATGGAGTGGTAGCTCTGCTCGCGACCTTTGGCCCCCATGACTTTCTGACCCCGGAGGCGAGCATCACGCCATCACTGCTGGCCAAGTTCTCCACCGTCATCAACCCTTTCATCTACATATTCATGAACAAACAGGTGAGGTGTTCTCTGTCGCTGTATCTCTGAGTTATCGCTCTTCTTCTCGAATGGACATCTTTCCCTGTCTTCCCGCTGTAGAGAAACTACGGTGGCAGACAAACATGCAAAAAACGCTAAACGGCCCTATCTAGTGCCAGTGTTTGGTTTAACATCGGGGCTCTCCGTAAAAGTGGACCAACTCTCTGAAAAAAAACTGATTTTGGTCTCTGCAGATCGTGAGCCTGCACAATTACTTCCAGGGCCTACTCAGAAGCAATATATGATTTTAAAAGTAGCAAAGTAGATTACACAGTGTAATGCATACTTAAGTAGGTATAAAAGTACTTGAAAAGGCTTGAAAAATTTTAATTAGGTAATGTAAGTTGGAATTCATTACTCCCCCCCAAGTTTCCAATTTTTCAGACACTTCCTGAAAATCATGTGTCTCCAAATGTGGTGATTTTGAATGTTTCAGATAAAATGAAGGAATAAGTGTTCCTTTGTGGGTTGAGAAAATTCTTCATTCTTCAAATTCTTCAGAAAATTCATATTTCTTAAACTGAATAAACTATTTGGAAACCCTCTCTTGGATTAATTGTAAAATGCATTGTCGCAGAGTTAATTAGAAGTTGACTTTTTATAGATAAATGATTCTCATAGGTCAGCAACAAACACAGGATGATTTTATAGAATATGATGCATTTGTTGTAGATTAAAGTATATAAAGTAGTTAACAGTAGCTCAGTCTTAAATATCTACAGCAGTAATATTAATACAAAAACAACATATATATTTATATATATAAAAATAGTAAAACACTGACAGGGATCATTTTACGTTTGATACTTTAAGTAAATGTTGCTAATAATACTTTCATATTAGTATTTTCACACAGCTTTTACTTGCTCTGAAAACTGCTTTTTTGATACATTAATATCCCAAACTAAACTGCTTTAAATTACAGTCAGTTGTCCTGTGTCTAACAACAGATTGCGTTTAATTATCTGCTCTCCTTTAAAGACACCCAGGCCAGAAAGCAATATGAGATTCACACTTAGGGGTAGGGGAAATGTAGGTGGAAGCAGACCTCCACTCTCCATCTGCTGGGTCCTCATTTACACCTTCAGAAGACGGAACACACACACACACACACTTCCACATCCAGCTATAAATACACACAAACACTCAGATTAAACAGAGAGGTGTGACATTATTATCAGGGTGTCAAAGCCAACACAGCATCGACACATAACACCCAACCCCCACCCCCTGTGAGGATATAATACACAATCACTAATATTCAAGGGCACAGTGCAGGGGGAAAAAAGAAAAAGGGAGCAATCTAGTTGATGCCACTGGCCTTCCTAATTGACAGCTGAGCAAACTTCAAGGTGCTTCGTGCAGCATTTCACTGTCAATAAACCATTACCATAGTCATTAGTAGATAATGACTATGGTAATAATGATAACTGCAAACAAATATGAACGTCCCAGAGAGGACGGCTCATGCGTGACTCCACACTGCTTTGGACATTTTGACAAGCTTGTCTTTCATCCCTCTAAAGGAACAACATACCTTTTCTATTTTTTTTTATCAGCTTGTTCGTGTTCTTTTATAAAACAGACAAACAGGTTGTTAAGTCCAGAAACATTCTCCAAGTTCAATAAAGTTTAATATGTATACAATTCACAAGTGTTTCCACATGGACGTAGTCTTGCCTCCGTTGTGTCTTTAGTGACAAACTGCTTAAAATGGAGGATTATTCTACCCTACAAAGCCAAAATGCAGTAACTACATATTTAAGTCAAATGTAGTCCAAATGTAAGACCAAAATTTGACTTGTTGACATTGTTTTATGCCATAATGTGTGCAGTAAAAACAAAAACACAATAAAAACCAATGTGAAACGGTCAACTACACAGCTAGCTAAAGCAAGAGAGCCAAATCTTGTTGTTAAAGCTAGCCAGAGATATAAAACTAGCCTAACGTTAGCTTAGCAGAGAAGCAGTTGGCTGCCAGATGATTTTTTGACAATAGTGGAATTCACAATTTGGTACTTTTAAGTCACATGTTTAAACATATTAAAGTGTACATTAATATCTTATTGGTTTCTTGATGCCAATTATGTAAAAAAAATAAATAGTAGATGCGAATAGTCTGTATTCCCTGATGTTTTAGAAGGTTTACATTAATTATATTTTCCTGTTAAAAGTACAACTGGGGTCAAAGAAACAATGTCCAGGGCTACAGGCCCAAATGCCCCCGACTGGGCCATGCATGTGGAATAAAGACAGTGAATGAAGAAAATGGCAGTAAAAGTGGATGAAGTGAATGAATGAAAAAACACATTCTAAAAGAAGGACATAAAGATGAAATACAGGCAGCGGAAGGTCAAAGATGAAAGAGAAAGGTGACGGACGGGATGAGTGTAGGAAAAAAGTTCTATTTAATCTCTGGAAGGTAATGTAAGCTTTGATTTTTGATTAACGTGATGTTACTATCAGGAAACGACACAGTGTGGCAGTGACCTTTTCCTTCTTCTGTCACACACTCTTTTATCTGACTCTTTTTATCTGCCTCCACCTCAGTCTGTTGGACTGCCTGTCTCTTTGTCACTTTTGAGCTCGGAAGACATTTAACTTTCTTTGATGACTGACTTGTGATGCAGGTTTTTGCTGCGTGTGTTAGTGTGTGTGTGTGTGTGTGTGATGATTGGGCTACTAACTGAACTTTCAGGGCCACAGAAAAACGCACAGGAGGCTGCACTGTGTGGCGCTTTCAGTCTTCAGTTCCTCCCAGCCCATAACTATGGCAGCAGTGTGTTGAGGCGAGTTGAAGACTTAAAACGCTGCTCAGATTCATGCCGCTGACCGGAGCCGCCATCACGAAAATGATATCATCTCTGCAGGAGGTGCCACTGCTGATGTCTGTCTGTGAATTTTTTTATTTCAAATGGCTCATTGGACCATTTTATTATATCACCTTTTGTTATGTTTCTTTCATTATTTTATGGGAAGGAAGGATGGAAGGAACAAAGTATGAGAGAAAGAAAGGAAGGAATTATGAATTGTAAGGAAAGGAAAGAAAAGATTAACAAGAAAGAAAGAAAGGAAGAAGTAAACAAACAAGAAGAAAGGAAGGAACTAATTATAAGAATTAGAATTATTATTATAATTAACTGAAATATAAGGAAAGGAAGGAAGGAATGGAAGAAAAAGAAAGAACACTATTATATTATATTATATTATAATGTGTGTATATATATATATATATATATATATATTGATTGATTCCTCCTGATGGGAAATGAGGCTGTAAAGATTTCACTAATTATATTAATAATTATAATGAATAATTTATTTGTGATAATGCTTTAGTAAACTATTCACATTCTAGGTGCTGAACTTTGACCCTTTTGAAATCAGAGAGATTACTGACATAGTTTGATTTGAGGGAAAGTTACTTTAAGTTCATCTTTAATTTTTATTTGTTTATTGTTTGTGTGCTGATCCTGTCAATTTCACCAAAAACCTCAAGGCGAACCTAAATTCTACATCCAAATAATAATTTATTCATTTTTAAGTTATAACTGTAAAAGACAGGGCCATACACTTTTCATTAATTTCGATATTTTTCATAATGAATGTGTATTTTAATCTTCTTAAAATGTCTACAGTATGTCCTAGACTTTCTCACCACGATGCTCTAAAGCTTCTTTGGTTTAAACAAACCAGTGTCCCCACTGGTTGCAACCAGTTCAACCGTAAGTTATGTTTTTGTTTATTTTATTATAGTTCCAGAGGCCTAAGGAGGTCCAGTTGTTCAGTAATTCAGTCGGAAGATGGCAAACGATAACCCTGTGGGCCTCTTGAGCACCCACTTATTCAAAAACAAGAGCGAGAACGATGCGTCATCGGCCCACTTGATTATGCGCCAGTATATCCGCAGGCTCTGGTTGTGGATCAAATTTTGAAGAATATGCGCACACACGTGCACCCATGGTAACCCTCAGAAGCCACAGAGCTTCCCTTTTTGACAAACCCTTATTTAACCCCTGCAAACACCCTTGATACCTCTGCTGCTGTTATTCTTCATTTTATTGTGCTTTATGTTGGAGTGACGTAACAGCGAGCGACAGCATGACAAGAAAGCTTCGTGTGCAGCAGTGCTTCCCAACATTTTGCCTTTTTCTATCATTGAGTAAACTGACTAAGTGGAATATTTTATATATATTTCCTAATATATTCAATGCAGAACAAGAACAGTGCATAACAACGGATAAACTGTACAATTAACCCAAATAGTGAACGCAGTAACTGCAGGAAGTTTGTAATATGTGAATATTGCATCAAAGGAGTTTTCCTGATATTTTTTAGAAACTTTTTATACAATTCTCGATCTGTATTATGTATTTTTAACATTATACTATACATACTTAATACGCTTCTTTGTTGCCAGTTTGAGTGCTCTTTGAATATCGTTTATTTTCAGGTTTTCATGGTTTTCAGGCCCTTCCTGTGAATGTTTTTTTTTAAAACTTCTATCTTTTAATGCAAAGTGTTTTGGTTGTTGATATTTGTTGTATATAATTATGTTTGTGACAGTTTAGTTTTTTGTGTCTATTGCAGAATACTTTGTTTCATATGTAGAATAATTTCACTTAGTTTCTTAGTTTTATATTTAGATTTGCTTTATTTTCCTGTTTTATTGATACTGTGTGATTTTAAATTGTTCTTTGTTTTAACTGTTATTGTTTTTGTGTGACTAGCAGCCACTTTATGGAAGCTAGTGGGGATCCAATTTAAGTTAAATACTTAAGATATACAAAATACAAATAAAGATGAAATAGAGACGATAAAAAGGGAAATATATACAATATATTGTATAAAAAGAAAAAATACAAAATATGTTATTCAAATGAATGCAGAGCTGTACAGTTTGTTCAGGAATACGCAGTTAACAGTGTGAGTCATAAATTATATTTGCAATGTACGATGTGCAAGACGTATCACGGTACCATCAAGTATCCGTACAGACACCCAGATGTGAAGTGGCGGATGAGGATTTGGTCACTTCTCAGTCCTAAAATATCAATCTGTGCCTGGTTTTAACTGGAATCCCTCATGATGTCAGCTTGTCCTCCTGTTTTTTTTTCATCTCCTTCACACTTCACACATCAACCCTTTTTGTTTCCCCCAAGGTTTCGCTTTTAAACCAACAGCTCCCCCCCCAGCACAGCTCTCTGGTAGATTAATACATTGGGATTTGAGACACCAGAAGATATAAAACGTAGAGCTAATTTTGAAAGCTGCATCATTTCCTCTGGGGTAACTGAAATTAATTGGCTCAAATATGATGAATTGTCAGCCAACTGCTAACATATCTTAGTTAAAAAAGCACCACAAAGTGTTTCACGCAGCGCGTCTGTTTGACATGCGGCGCCCTGGGGAAATGTAGTAGACTTTAAGTATACGTGTGGAACCAGAGAGTATACTAAGTACACTACGTTTATCCAGGGGGGCACGCTGCCTGCTGGACTCCCAACATGGAGGTAAGAAGAACGAGCTGCAGCTAATTGATCGATTTGTCTGTCTTATTGTCACTAATACACATAATTTATAATCATTTATATAATAATTAAAATGTACAATTACACCTACAGTACTGTGACTCACCACTAGTTCTAGGTTTTCTACATCTACCACTGTTACTACTTCTACTACTACTACTACTACTATACTTCAAGTACCTTTACTGTCACTGCTACCACAAGTTATCTTAGTACCATTATGATTATCACAAACTTCTACTTTGACTCTTGTGTTAATATTTTACCATTAATACTACTACAATTGCTATTTTCTATTACTACTATTACTCTGTCTACCCCTGTACTACTACTTGGTTTACTACTGCTTCTTCTATCTACATTGCATACAGTGTTCTGCACTACCACCACTTCCTTCTACTACAACCAATACCTTTAATTGCTGTTATCCTTCTACTTCTTAGTAGATTACTATTACTACAGGACTACAACTGTATTATGATGATAATACAAGGTCTTTTATTACAATTTCTACAGATACTGTTACTCCCCAGGTCTACTGCTGCTCTTCTTCCACTACTATTACAGACACTCGTGCATACACTGTCCTGAACAACTGATACTGTTACTACAAGAACTTCTACTGTTACTATATACACTAAACTTACTATTGCTGTTACTGTTCCTCTTCTACTACATTACTTACAGAACCTGGCAAGGTAGCTTGGTAAAATGCAGCCAGTTAACAGCTCTCTCAGCTATTATTTATAATTCATTTGAGTGGGATACTTACCCGTTTCTGTTTTACACCTCCATTACTAAAAAGTGTCAAGGCCCTAAATCCCTTAAAGGGCTGCTGCAAGTTTATTTATCAGTCAATAATCTCAAATCCCCGAATGCATCCATATTTATATAAACCCAGTAGGGCTCTTTGATCAGCTGGTTTAACCTCAAGCTAAAACTGAACAAGGTGAAGCTGCTTTTAGCTGCAAAGCTGCACAAAGATGGAACAAACTTCCTGAGCCAAATAAGAATAACTTGTTGCATTTGGTGCAATTTACAACTTATTAGTGCACTGTTTTTCTGGTCTATTTAATTTGTATTTTATGTAATTTTATCAAATTTTTTGGCTCTTTTTTTTTCTAAGTATATTTTTTGGGCTTTTATTGCCTTTATTATAGTTGACAGTTGAAGACAGACAGGGAAGTGGGGCAGAGAGAGGGGATGACACGCAGCAAAGGGCCACAGGTCGGATTCGAACCCTGGGCCGCTGCAGCAAGGACTCGGTACATGGGTTGCCAGCTCTAGCTATCCGGGCGCCGTATTGGCTCTCATTTTATTCTTTTTTAATGTTGTTTTTTTTAATCTATTATTGTTTTGAATGTCACTGTAATGCGGTTCTTCACCTATTGTGAAGCACTCTGAATTGCCTCTGTTTGAAATGCGCTTTATAAATGAAGCTGCCTTGCCTTACTTTTAGACCCATTATCACTTGTCAAATCAATTTTGTTTATATTGCCCAATATGAAATGAAAAATATGAATGAAAAACTCCTAAAAAAAAACGGAGAAACAATGGAAGAAACCTCAGGAAGAGTAACAGAGCAGGGATCCCTCTTCCAGGACGGACAGACAGGAAACAGATGTCATGTGTACAGAATAAAACAACATAGAAAAATCACAGTATGGACACTCAAGATAACATAATTATAGATACATATACTACTATTACTATTACAATTATATACAACTGCTATTATTACTACTAACACTCTTAATAATAATAATAATAATAATCCTCTTTGTGTGTAGTTCTACAGGTGTTTCAGGGCGTTCCTGAGCTGCTCCACCCCCGAGCGAGGCTCCACCTTAAAGACATTTTCACGGCCGACAAAGACCCTCCGCACTGTCCGCCAAGACAAGGAACACCACGTGTCCGCTCCCGCGCCCTGCTCAGCCCACTCCACGCCCAACTCCATCCACGAGTCCTCGCAGAGAGGCAGTCACGTGGCTCCATCTCCATCGAATCGACACTCTGCTGCTTCCAACACCCCTGCTGATGCAAATAGCCCCAAACCCATACTGATCCTTGTGGCTCACTACAGGGAGTAAAAACAGAGAAACAACAGCAGAACACGAACGTTTACAGAAGGGAGAAGGAGCAGAGCGCAGGGCTCCAATTAAGAAGGAAATCTTCTTAATAGTGAAAGAGCGAGCGCAAAGTGAGCTCAGTGGGAGTCTTAAATACGGGCTGGGACATTTTAATCCCAGGACAGGTTACCATTGCTCTGTGAAGTCGGCAAACACAAAATGTCAGTCATCCTGCTTACCAGAGGCATTGTATATAAAGCAGAAGACTATGGGGCTAACAGTGCTTTGTGTTCACATTACAGACTTCTTCTACAGATTAAAGACACATAAATAGGTTGAGGTATCTTTGGTACTTAACTAAAGTAATGTTCTTTTTTAATCTGAGAAATTATTCAGGAACATTTTAGAAACGCACAGCATTTATTGGTGGATATTTCATAAAATGTTTGTTTTGTGGTAAACGGGGCAATGAGGTATTTTGTCGGTTAGTGTGTAGCAACTGTTAGCAGGATTATTCTTTTTTCGATAATAATTCAGTTGAAGAAGGGGCTAAGCGTTTTTTCCTGACCCCATTTCCATGCCTGATATTTGAGGATTTGATACAGAGTATTAAAGATTTGTTGAACAATTTTATGCAATTTAGAACTGAGAAGGTTTCTATTATGCCTTTATTTACACTGTGCTGCATACGAGCCCTCTGTCATGGAAAGCTGGGACTGCAATGAGAGTCACTGAAGGGGCATTTCATCAATGTTGAGAGGGACACGTAGAGAGATATTGTTTTTGGTTGTCTTGGTGTTTTTGAAGTTGCTGTTTCTCTTTGTTTAGTGTAAAAGTGGTTTTGTGTTGTCTCCCAATTGTGTTTTTCTTTGCTTATGTAACATAAAATGAAATCATGTCACAAACAGATTTGAGTGTCTCAATCTTCTTCTATTTACTTAACCCAAAGTGTGTGTCAGTGTGCGTGCCTCTTCCTTCAGAAACTGGAGCTCCGTGTCATTTTCTCTCATTTTCTTCCCTCTTAGGCATAGTCACATGTGTTGATTAATCCATGAATTATTAACACAGGCATTATTTACAGGGAGGGAAGCGGATTAACGCTCTAAATTACAGCCTTCGTCTTGGTGAGAAACAAACAGCAACTGGCGCGTTAGCCGTAACCCAGACCCATTTTTCTTGAAAGAAAATTATGGGGGATATACCACAGACCAAGTGGAACTCATAGAACACATTTCTGATGTTTTTTCTTTTTAAATGTCAAATATTTGTTTTGTGACATATAAGTCACAATGGGCGTTTTTGGTAAATAAATACTCTATTAATACCTTAATAATTTGACATTTTGTTTATATTTCTTCAAATATACTTTAAATTGAACAACAGGGCATATATTAATTCTAAATAACTGAAACAGTGATATTAATTGAGGGGCTTATTACCTTTTTTGTTATCGTGACACAGACGTCACATCAGATTTTCCATGACAACTTTACGGTTAAAAGCCTGATGTGACGTATACGTCACAGCAACATTTTCGTAACTTGTTTTATATTATTTTGTTCAGGAAATATGGTCAGAACAGATTAAATGCAATACAGGACATACTATTGAAGCATTAGAATTGTTAAATGGGTTTAAACTTACGTTAGTAACAAAAAACAAGCTTTTTGAAGTTAGCCATTGCCTTAATTTAGTCATTTCTGTCATTTCAGTCACACCCACATTTTGGAGGGGACACTTTCCTGTCACAGTCACATGACTGTCATATGACCACCACACCAGCATGTTTTGTGGATGTCACTTAGGGATTTAAAAGTAGGATTTAAAAGTGATTAAAAGCTGAAAAAAGTTGCTCCTTGTTTGCAGACACAGAATAAAGTTTAAAAATGTCTATTAAATAAGTTTTGTCAGAATGTGGATGAATACACAGGTTCTGCCCCAAACATCAGTAGATTTTCCACAGGTGAGGAGATCGGTTTTGTTCGAGCTCTCCTGTTGGTGCATAACCTCTGGAGACCAACAACTGGAGTCAGTGCTCCAAGAGGTCATTCTGTATAGACTTTACACACCACATTCACGTCATATGGAATGAGAGATGAAAGAGATTCTCATGTTTAAGGCTTGCAAAGGTTCTTGTAATTGGACAACTCCAATCATGCGTTCCTAAACTAAACCGTGTGCATGCCTGCCGGTACTTAAACAAACAGTACTACCCCTTTGCTGATAAATGTAGTATAAATAAAATATTTACCTCTGAGATGTAGTGAAAAGTACAAGTAACCCCCCAAGGAGTGCACTGCACCACCCAGTATTTCTTTTTGCATGAGCCCCCCCCTCTGTGCTGTACTAGAAAAGGGGTGAGGGCATCATTGAAATGAAGGAATAGACTTTTTTTTCCCTAAAGTTGGGCTGGGAATGACTTTCACAGTAAGCATTTGAGAATCATTGTTAGACTTTCTTTATATAAAGCCCCTAGCAGCATTGAACATAAAAAAATATACTACATTGTATGTAGTTTGGGTGAACTGACCCTTTGATAGCATTTCATTTTATTCAGACTGGCCCTGGCCTTTTTCACCATGACTATAATCTTTCAGAACAGGGCTGTGTGTGTGTGTGTGTGTGTGTGTGTGTGTGTGTGTGTGTGTGTGTGTGTGTGTGTGTGTGTGTGTTTTCACATATCCAGGGTCTTATCACTTGCAGAGACACAGATTGTGTAATCAAACAGATTAAATAGATGGTTATCAGCTTCAGACATCCAAACTAACAGCACAACCCCTTGTGTAATAATTAACACAGCGTTTTTGTACTGGACTTTTGGATGCCATTAAAGAGGCTCTTTTATAACATGCTCCAAAAATAATTTAAAATAGTAAACCTTTCAAATTTGATCTCGCAGCACTACGGATATGGTTTACAGCTATTCCAAAAAGACTGCCGGCTGTGCTCATATTCCTAGTTCAGTATTGCTCCATTATATATGTGTCCTTACTTGACTGTTTACAGGTTTGTGTGTTTTTGAAGCACGGCCAAGTTTAATTTTTGCAGAAAATGATGTCACCCATCCTTGGACCCCTTTCATCCTGAGAGATCCAGATAAAGTAACAGGATATAATAGGTTCGGAGAAGGATTATTATCACTATGCCAATGAAAACTTCTATAAAACTAAAAAGAAATTTCACAGCTGGATACCTTTATACTGTTTAATATCATTATGCTATTACGTTTAATGCATGCTGTCCCTATTTTACCTCATCCTGCCTTTCTCTTGCAATCAGCTGGAGACAACAGACAACAGTAATGAAAATTCTGTATTTTTGGTCAACAGCGGCCTAACAGCAAATCTTTTCCCCAGGGGCCTAAATCAGATTAACGTGACTATGATTTGACTTATTTTTCTGCTCTGTAATTTTGGAAGCACTAATAATTGTGACTTCAGTTTGTGAAATGTCATCTCAATTATCCACATGAGAAAAGTACAGCCAAACAATAAAAGCCAGTTTTCTTCGATAATATAGTGTTAAAAGATAATTATTTTATTTATACAGTTAGTATAGTGGCACTTTCAGCATACTCTTGAGACAGCAGAATGAAAATGAGATGAGTTGCAGCACTTCCTGGACTATTAATTTTACTACAGTGATTACAATAAATGTAGATAAACATTGATCATCACGCCAAAGATGAGTCAGTAAAGATAAATTGGGTCATTTTCAGTGTCCCTTTGTTGCCAGAAAACACTTAGCAAAGCAGAAACAATAGGAAACCACCTCCATTATTAACAATTTGTTGTTTGACACGTCCTTAGTGCGTCCCTCCACAGACTCAGCTGTAATTGGATTGAGCAGAAATGTCCTCTCATCACGTCGCTGTTTCATTTTCTAACTGGACCGAATCCAAATCTACTGGGAGTCGTATTGGTAAACTGAGTGTGTATCTCCACTAAATCGCTACATGCATTCTCATTAGCAGTCTGATAAAGAGACAGAGTTTAAAATTGGTTTTATAATCGCTGTATTTTCAGGATGAATGTCCACGTCAGTTCGAGTGAGTGAAACAGTTTATAGGGGAAAAGGGCCATAAGGGACGACTGTAATTTAATAGACTGAATCCTCGATAGTACACTTGAATACAACCATGAATACAAATGTAATCATTTTTATTTGTAACTGAAGGATTTTCCATTAACAATTGTATATGTTTTCCATACAGGCCTACATTTATATTTAAAATAAAAAACTAAAAAAAAGAATCTGTTGCCTCAACTGCCACACAGACTGACAATGTATCTTACTCTTCATATAGTTCCTTCAGTAAACATTACATCAGCTTCATTGACCATGTTGTTACTTACTCACAGCCGCTCCACAAACTGTGTTAGAGAGACAGTGATTTTAACAAAGAACTGTTTGTATCCAGTGTTTTTTGCCAGATAATCACTGGATTTGTTGGTGGTTGAGTGGAGGAAATCTCAGTGGATATTTCAGCAAGAACTAATCAACCACCATTTACAAATATATCTGGATCAACATTTCCAACATGCTGTGTGAGGATTGCCAGCTGCAATCTAACCAACCTAACTCTTAATTCATTGAGGTTTTATATTTGTAAAACTGCCATGAAAATATATTTTCAGTTAATAACCTGCATCTGCAAAATAACTAGTGAGTAAATCTATCAAATAAATCCAACAATCCACTAGGCTCACACAGCGTATTAAAGAGGTGTATTTGTGCCATCAATTCCTGTCCTATAACGCTCTTGTGGAGCAGCTCATAAAGGAGGTTAAGTAAAACTGGATGATGCAACACAGCTAATGAGCTATGACAGCTTCTCCTGTCTTGGACTCTCCAGCTCTCAGCTCCCCAAAGGTCACCACTGTCAAGACAGTTTGGTTTTTCATCATGAAATTTAAGCATTTTAAATGCTGGGGTGTCTGGGCCTTTAAACACTGAGCTAACAAAAAGTTGCTCTTCAGTTAAGTAAATTAATGTATTTTAATGAGACCTTTTGAATCCTTTTGCTTATTTTAAATTTGTCTCTCCTTTGAGGCGCACTACTTAATTAAGGCCAGGTGAGCTGCAGGTTAATCAGCCAGGTGCTCATTGTGAGGCAGCTGCTGCTAGTTGGACTCAATGAAGTTGATTGGATTGGAAGGGGAGGTAGAATTGCTGTTGGTTGAGCATTTTGTTCTCATTGTTTATTTTAATTTCTTCTGTCATAAGCCGGGGTGTTTAAACACTGAAGTTCTAAAAGAAATGTAATTTGTAAAAAGACTAATGAAGTCAGCTGGTAGTGTAATTATCATTTACATTTTCCTTTTGTTGGTGTAATCTTCCCCATAGCTAATGCTAATGGTACATTCCAAAAAGGTATTTAACCCCCAGGGTGAGGCGGTGGTAGTATTTTGACTGTGAGGCCCAGGGGGGTCTCTAACAAGTTTATTTAAGTTTTGTTTTGAAGCTAGGGAAGCTTGTAGAGACATCAATTTCAGTAAACCAAATCGCCTTGAAACTTAAAAACAGTGAACACCTCATCCTAGTGATGGGCAAATTAAGCTTTTGTGAAGCACTGAACCACTTGAGCCAATTGTTTCGAAAATGGGTTCATTATTCGAAGCTTCAGTTACAGTGACCTTTCCTGGCAAAGTGCAAGGCTGCAGTCAAATTAGGCAGGCTAGTTGCTTTGATCACCCTTGGATTTAAAGTAGGTTTGCTTTGAGAATTCCTATCTACACTGAACAAAATTATAAAACGCAACACTTTTGTTTTTGCCCCCATTCATCATGAGCTTTCTCTATGTACACAAAAGGCCTATTTCTCTCATATTGTTCACAAATCTGTCAAAATCTGTGTTAGGTGAGCACTCCTCCTTTGCTGAGATAATCCATCCACCTCACAGGTGTGGC